ATTACTATTACTATTATTATTTTGTAGTTTTGGCAAGGGTCCACAAGGTCTCACTATGTAGTTTGGACTCATAGTGATTCTCCTGTTGTAGTTTGGACTCATAGTGATTCTCCTGTTTTCAGCCTCCCAAAGAGCTGGGATTACAGGCGCACGACACCACACCCAGTCTCAATCACCTTCTCAGTGTGCCTGCGGGTTGGGGCCGGCATGGCACATTGGGGATTGAACTCTGGCCTATGCATCTGCCTAAGCAGGTGCTTTAATCTGCTGAGCATTTTGACAGGCCCAAGAAGTAACTTTACAGTGTTGTTGAAAATGTCTTTTAAACCATTCTCTAAACGCTGTGCATAGCCATTAGGTTTTTTTCTCTCTTCAAATTGACAGAAACCTGGATATACTCAGTCACTGAACTGAGTCAGTGTGGCACAGCTTGGAAATTGGTATTTTAAAAGGCTTAAGCCCAGTATTCAGGCAACTTGGGAAACACTAGCTTGGAAAGTACCAGGTTTTCATAAAATTTTTATCAAATTACTGGGAGTTGATGGAACCTTTATAAGGTGGGCTTGGTGGAAGGAAGATTGGTCTTTTGGCAGGGGTGAGGGGAGTAGCCCTTGAAGGTGATTCAGGACCCTGGATGCTTCCTCTCTCTCTTTTGTCCCAGTTGCTATGAGGTCACAGCTTCCTCCACCATGTGCCCCCACTCTGATATACTGCCCTGCCACAGGCCCAACACAACAGGGCCACGTGACTGCTGGCTGGAATCTTTGAAACCATGAGCCAAAATGAATTTTTCTTTCTTTAAGTTGCTTTATCTCAGGTATTCATCACAGGTACAGAAAGCTGAGTGCCATAAAACATTAACTGCTGGAAAGAATGAAAGAATTAACACATTTTGGTGCTACTGAGAAACACACTGTTAATCTGTTAATGTTTTGATGCACACACATGCCCTTTCTGGATTGAGTTAGTATGATTCTACTGCATTTCTAAAATAGCATGCAGTTATTTTGGATTTCAGTTGTGGGAAGGGATTTCACTGGGGTTTTTGGATTTGTTGCTCTTTTGAAAATATTTGGATAAGAAGTCAAGAAACACATCACTGCTCCCCAGGGAACACAAGAGTTGGTAAATAATGATTATGAAAGCATTGAATTTGTAGTATCAGACTCCAAAGAGCACAATTAGACTGTTAAATGTGCTTTGTGTTCTTGTCTTATTGTCAAATGATCATCTTTGGCATCTGTCATACCTCCCTTGATGTCACCTTTGATTGCTGCGAGGATGCAGCCATCTGTGTAACACCCATGCATGGAGAAGTCTCCAGAACCACGTTAATGATTCTGGACAGTTCTCTGTGATAAAGAGATGCTGCCTCTGCCAAATGCTGCTGACATAGAAGGTGATGTTTTCATTGTGCTTAATGTACAGCTGTCCCTTCGTATCTCTAGATAATCCTGCAATAGCTTTCGTGATCAGTGAAGAGGCTGAAGAGGCTCGTTCTTCTTGGGTCTTTCTATTCTGAACTGTCACATTCACTGTGACTCAGGTGCTTCCAGTCATTGAGTGCCTTGGCAATTTCAGTGTCATCATCAGCTTTTCGGAAGGCAGACCCAGGAGGCTGGCTTGGGAGCCAGCACAGATATGGTATCTACTTCCCTGTTGGAACATAAGATATCAAAACAGCTTTGATTTCTTGGGGTTCAATAGCCATCATGAAAAAGAAGGCTGATGCCAAATAAACCAGGCTGCTGGGACACTGAAGAAAGCTACAGCTTTGTTTCCTTTATCCAAAAGCTGAGAGTCAGTCTTATTCTTCAGTTTTAAAAAAATCAATTACGTTGTTAATGCAGAATGCATTCTCCTATAGTAGAAATAGCATGAACCAAAGATTAAAAACTGAATCTCATTTAAGTCTTTTATTCTACAACTATCCTTTGTCCTTCAGCCTGTGTTTAAATTTTCTGAGCCTCAGTTTGCTTATCTGTCAAATAGGGATGACACTATTGATCATGACTCTTCTATAAGACTGTGTGAAGGATGAAATTGACATAATAGAGGGCCAGTCAAATAGCTCAGCTGACTAAAGTGCCTGCTTAGGCAGAGTGCAGAGGCCGGGTTCCATCCTCGGCATGCTGTGCTGGCTCCGCCCCCAAGGCACGCTGAGAAAGTGATTGAGACTGAGCGTGGTGGTACATGCCTGTAATCCCAGCACTTGGGAGGCTGAAAACAGGAGAATCACTATGAGTCCAATCTATGTAGTGAGACCCTATAGACCCTGTACTAAAGTACAAAAAAATAAAGAAAAGTAAAAAAAATTGACATAATAGATAAGAAATTCATTTGATAAATTACAATGGATTATACAGGTTGATATGATTAATCATAAAATAGCATTGAAACAATAATGAATATTCCTGATACAATAGATTTATAGCTGAGTATGGTGGCATATTCTTCTAACACCTGCACTCTCAGGAGACTGAGACAGAAAAATTGCACGTTCAAACCTAGCTTGAGAAACTCAGTAACTTAGTGAGACCCTATGTCAAAATTAAAAAATAAAAGAAGGCTGGAGTTGTAGCTAAATATTAAGGTCCTGGGTTTAAATTGCAGTATGGAATCAAACAAACTAACAAATCATGCAGTTGTATGAGACTGTTCTAACTGAATGAATCCATGAACTTTATTGCTGTGCATATGATAAGTGAACCCCCTATTCATTTGATCAAGGAAACCTGCTAATTCCTTTTGTTTAATATTTTTAAGGCAGTTTTAGGTTTACAGAAAAAAAATGAATAAAAACCAGAGTTGACACATACTCATCATTCCCACACATAATTTTTTCTTTATCCATAACTTGAATCAGGATGGTGGATGTGCTGCAACTTATGAGTCAATGTTAATACACTATTAACTAAATACTCTCCATGACGCGAGGGCTCACTCTTTGACTGTAAATTTTATGGGGTTTTACATCTCGGTAGTGATGTTTATCTTCCATTACAGTGTCCTACAGAATAATTTCACTGCCTAAGAATGCGCTGAACTTTGCTTCTTCCTTCCTTCTGTCTTTCTGAACACTTGGTAGCCACTGATTTTTATTTGCTCCATAGTTTTACTTTTCCCAGAATGTCACACAGTTGGAATCAGAGTCCCACCTTTACAGATTAGCTGCTGTTACTTGGCAGTGTCCACCGAGGTTATTCCACATTGTTTTCCAAGGCTTTATAGTGCCTTTCTTTTCATCCCTGAATGATAACCCATTGTCCAAATGTATTACAATTTGTGTATGTTTTTGCCTATTGGAGGTCATCTTGGTTGCTTCCAATGTTTGACAATTACTTATAAAGCTGTTAAAGATACCTGGGTTCAGGTTTTTGTGTGGACACAAAGTTTTTAAATTCATTTGTAAAAATACCATGAAGAATGGTTACTGCATCATACAATAAGAATATGGTTAGTTTTGTAAAGCTATTGAATTTTCTTCTGAAGGGGCTGTGTCACTTTGAATTCCAGGTAGGTGATTCCAGGTTTTCTGTTATCCCCCACAAACACTCGATGTTGTCAGTATTTTGAATTTGAACATTCCAATAGGTATGTAGTGATATGCCATTTTGTCTTATAATTCCCAAATTACCTATGAAGTTCATGTTTTCATAGGCTTGCTGGTCATCTATCTTCTTTAATGAGTTGACTGAAACTTTTGCTCATTTTTGATTGAGTTGTTTGTTTCCTGTTGTTCAATTTTAAGATTTGCAAGTATATTTTAGGTATCAGTCTTTTATCTGATGTATAGTTTGCAAAGATTTTTTTTCCAGTCTGTAGCTCATCTTTGCATGCACATGTCATTGTTCACTTTTAATTAATCTTAACAGCATGGTCAAACTCTTCCTAAATACTTTTGGCATCCAAGTTTGCAATTGTTAAAAAGGTTGAAAGATCTTTATGCTCCGATCCTATTTACCATCAACTCCTTTTGTGTTTGGCTGCATTTGTAGACTGGATCAAGCCATCAAGCCCAACACGGGCTCAACCTCAAACCTCACGTTCTTAACAGGGATCATCACCGCTGTCATCTGAGAATTGGCCTGAAGCCTGTCCAAGTTGGCCGGGGCTGGCTGGGCTTACTGGAGCGGCCGACATTTTTGCTGACTAGTGTCATGCTGTCTTTGCCAGTTTGCTGGAATAGACACAGACACCGATTGGGTCACGCTGAAGACATTCCTGTCTTCTGAAGCAAGTCTGTTTGTATTTTAGGTTTGCCAGGACTAATGAATTAAAACGTTTGGACTCTCCAAGCTTGCTGTTTATCAATGCCTCTGACAGGAGGAGGGTTTTCTTTTGCTCTTGCTTTTTCTAGAAACATGACAACATCCTGGCTGCTGGAGAGGTGAGGAAAGGAGAGAAGGGTTTGGAGGGAAGCGGAACAGGGAGGTCCCGGGGGACGCTGGGGTTTGGGGCAGAGCAGGTAGCAGCGTGCTGCCCGACAGCTGTCCCCGCTCCTCAGAGTGTCAGTGGCTGTTATGCAGCAGGTGCAGCCTGCTGCTCGCTGAGTCCTTACTCCACAAAGGCAACGAGTGGCCGAGGCAGCGGCTGGCCCTGGATTACACAAGTGCAGACACTCCACTAAGTGAGGTAAGGCAGCAGGTGTGAAAACCGAACTAAACGCTTGCAGCGGCAGCTTAACCACAGCTTTGTTATGGCCCCCAGCAGAGAGCTGAAAGCCGGAGCCGGTTCTTCCAGGTGGTGTGACGAGAGGGCAAGTGGCTTCCTGGGCCTCTTGCGGTTGAGTCCTGCGGAACAAAGAATCCACAGTCTCAACACCATCCTCCAGAGGCGGACAGATCTTTTCCATCGTGCTGAGGGGCAGGATGTCATTAGCTGTCCTCTCCAGTTCCACTTTTTGTAGCTGGAAACAACACCGCGGAGCTATTTACAAAATATAGAGGCAAATTTCCACCTCCCATGCTTTATTTCTTGATGCAGGAAAATGTTGGGAGACTTGCCTAAAAGGACAATGAGCTTCTCATCTTTAGATGTTGTGATAAGGTGGCTTGGAGCTTGTATAATGCCTACTGGGAAGACTTTTGTCTTTAATTATAGCTTCAGGGTGTTTTGATTCTTTGTTTTGTTAAATCTGAGACAGGCTGTGCTATCTCTCCAGAAACAGGTAACTAACAACATGCTTCATTCTAAGCAGAAAAACAAAACAAAACTCCGAAACACTGCACAGAAGTGTGTGATAGTTATGATAAAATAAATTCTGAGTCAAGTAGTGGTGGTTTTAGAGTATCCTTTCTTCAAATGTTCCAAGTTACCATTTCTTTGTGACTTGCAGTGACAGAATGAAGAGCTTACTGGTGCCTTGGTATTTGTGGTCTGATGTGAACGGGCTCAATAGGCTCCTAACTCGGTGATTAAGCTGTTGCTAATTTTTCTTCCAAACCATCCTAGGTGTTTAATATAAGCGTGTTTTCTTCCCATGTACTGGGTATGAGGATTCCAAATATATGTATATCTAAATATATGTCATATGTGTATGCATTGACTGTGGCTTTCTACATAATGTAAAACAAAATCCAGTGTTCTGGACACTATTTTTGGATACAAAAAAGTTATGGGAAAAGTCAAAAGCCTCGCTGTGTATGAGAAAATGTCCTGTTACAAGCAGTTCCCAGAATCTTGCTAAAGATGGCTAAAGGGATTATTTATATTTTGCCATTTTTAGAGACATTTTCCTTAAAATATCATTCAGGTCTTTTAGTTTGCTGTCTACATGAGGAGAATAGACAGTGTAGGGGAAGCAAGACAAATAAGAAGTTAAATATATGTGTTTAAACAGCAAATTCATGTATTTATAATATTTTTCATGGTCTGGTTGAGCAGTAAATTACCAAATATTTTGGTTAAAATGTACATTATTTGGGATGAATTCTTTTAGGATATAGGAAGATCCATAAGTGTTTTTACTTTCCCATCTTACGTAGGATGTTTTCTCATTAATTTTAAGTTTATTAATTAAATGATAATTTAATAGGCAGGGTACAACAACTATAGGATATTCTAAAGCTTTTTCTTTTGCTTTTGTCATATACTGTTAAGAAGTAAACTCATAGGTAGAAATATTTGCTAGATTTATAAGTAGTCAGACATTTAAAGCAAGTAGTTTTCATAATACCACTGTGGGATATTTTAATATGGTCTTTGGTATTCTTTAAATGATCACATGATATTAATTTTTTGTTACTCTCAGATAATTAATTCAGATTTAATTTAGACTTTTGAGTAGGAAATGATAGACTAATCTAAAGCTTCCTGATACCCTATTAAACTATGTCTCTTTTTTATCCCCCTTCAGTTAAATATGTAAGCTTTAAAGCTATGACTGATTGTTTAGCATGATGAGAAACTAAAAAATTGAGGTAGGCAGAGAGCTTCACCACATCTTGTTCATTCTAGATGTGTGTTGCCAAAGTAATTTTTGTCTAAGCCAAAAAAAATTTTCAAATGGGGCCAGTGAATGATTTTGAGGTAGGAGGTTTATTAACTTTTCTTTTGAATTTCCGAGGGCTTCTGTATTCAGAGACATGATGTTGGGTGCAGTGACTATGGCTTTCTCTTGTCCTTGTAGCTGGAAGACCCAGGAGAAGGCCGGGCCTCAGGCGCCCACATGATCAGCACAGCAAGGGTACCTGCGGATAAGCCAGTGCGCATCGCCTTTAGCCTCAATGAAGCCTCAGGTACACTGTGCTTTAGGGGAAAGGGCTGCACCCCGGAAATCCTCCCTTTCCATTATCTCCTCTAATTCCACAGAGGATGCTTAAAAATTACATATTGCATGACTCAGTATGTGATATTTTATCATGCTTTTTTTTTTTTTTTTGATTTTTTGAAACAGGGTCTCTCTATGTGGTTCAAGTTGAACTTGCACTCACTGTGTAGCCTAGGCTGGCCTCTAACTCCTGCCACTCCTCCTGTCTCAGGCTCCTGAGGGCTGGGAGCATCATCTCCCCCATCTTGAGTTGGCTGTTTTACTTCATTTCTTCTTTTTCTTTTCATATTTTAACTTTCTTTTAGAATGAGAGTCACAGAGCTGTAACAATTTCTAAGGACAGCAAAATGTGTCACTAATGTTAAAAACCGCATGAGGAAACGATCATTACAAATTGGCAGGAGGTTAGGTAAGACCAAAATATCTCATCCCAGTTTCAGCAGCATTTGTTGTAGTCTAAGTTCAAGCTGCTCATTCCTCAGGGATGCTTCCCCACTTCCGGCTAAATAAACACCCTTCAGCAGGAGTGATGAATGGGACAGGTGAGGTGGGGCTTCTGCAAATAGTAGGGTCTGAGGTGAGCTTGCCATTCTTAGAGCACTCTGTCATGGCTCCCCTCAGTGACCTCTTAACATACATATCGGGTTGCACCACCTCTGAACAAGGGCTCTCTTGTGGTCACGGTGGTGAGAGGTCACGGTGGTGAGGAAAGCAAGGCTTGGCTCCCTTCCCTGGCGTCTGCCATCGCTCTTAGTTTAATGCCATCTGTTAAAATCACATGGTCAAATAATACCATTTAAACCACCTCTGTTCCTTTGAGGATTGGTTCTCTCTCTCTCTCTCTCTCTCTCTCTCTCTCTCTCTCTCCTCTCTCTCTTTCTCTCTGTCTCTCTTTGTCTATCTCTCTGTCTCTCTCTGTCTCTCTCTGTCTCTGTCTCTGTCTCTGTCTCTGTCTCTCCTTCTCCCTCTTCCTCTCCCTCTCTTCTCCTCTTCAGTGCCCATGTTGGGGTGAGGCTTTAAAAATTAGTGGTTGAAAATGAACAAGATCATTCCAAAATAATATGAAGTAACAAGTTGGTCTCTGTACCTTCTGATGTGGCTCAGCTAATATAGGATTGGAGTTACTATACTAGGAGATTGTAGGCAACACCCTTACCCTGGAGGTTTCTGGATGGTATAGCCCCTAAAGAAGTGTGGTTAAGTGTAGGAAGAGATAAACCCTGAACCCTTCACAGTTTATTTACCCACCACTTTCAACCCACTTTTGTACTATGTCACTGGGGATTATTTGGGGGCTGTCATATAAAGCAATAATGAGAAGAGTTCACCCACCATATAAATCTATTCACCCCACATAGAAATGACAGCTTCCATTAATTGTTCTTCTCTTTCATAGTAGGAGGTTACTTATAGTATTTGTGGGGCATAGGCATGAGAATTCCCTATTTATGGAGGCAAAGACTGAGGCTAAGAGACCACCCTGCTAAGTAATGAGTTATGATCTAAACTCAGACTTGGAAATGTAAATTCCTTCAGATTATCCCATGTCACTTCTCTAAATGAAAAAAGAAAAGCTCTTCAAGTTTTCAATGGGTTTTTAAATATAATTTTTTAAAAATTTATTTATTTATTTGGTACAGGGTCTCACTACACATCTTGGACTTGTAGAGATCCTCTTGTCTCAGCCTCCCCAGTGCTGGGGTTACAGGCATGCACCACCATGCATGGTTTTGGGGCTGACACAGTGCACCTGGAATTCAGGGTCAGCATGCTATGTGGTACCATGGAGTTATCTTCCCAGCCCTTCAATGGGCTTTATAAATCCCTGATTTATTGTCAGTGCTCAAGTAGCTTCCTCTCATCACCCCCCCCCACCCCTGCAATGCAAGGAGAAAGGAGATGAGTGCTTTCCCTTCTGCAGCTCATGTCCTGTATGAACAGAACAGGCCTCATAATAATGAACAATCTTACAAAAATAATTTTGGTATATAAAGTTTGCTTATCCTAAGCAACATTACTACTTCATTAATTTCATTTATTATTATTATTTTAATGTATTTGGTACAGGATCTGTAGGGTCTACAGGGTCTCACTATGTAGATCGACCTGTAGTGATCCTCCTGTTTACAGCCTCCCAAGTGCTGGGATTGCAGGCGCGCACCACCATGTCCAGTCTCAATCATCTTCTCAGTGTGCTCCAGGGTCAGGGCTGGCACAGCAGGCCAGGGATTGAACCCCAGCCACAGCACTCTGCCTAAGCAGGCACTTAAGTCCCCTGAGCTATCTGTCTGGCCATTTAATTTTATTTATTATTATTATTTTTTTACTTCATTAATTGTAGACTAGACAAATAAATGCACTGTATTAGAAAAAAAAAAACCATCAAGAGAAGAATCCAGATTTTAGGCTGCATGAATAAACTCTTTCTCAAAGTACAAAATGTTCAACTTGTAATTCATTTGCTACCACCTATAAACTGTCTTGATTTCTGAATGGAGCTTTTGTGTATTTTTCATCAATCAAATTTGTTGCAGCTTTTTCTTTTACCTTTCAAATACCTTAAGAATGTGCACTTTTGAAATTCATGATTTTCATAGGTAGCTTTAAAAAGTAGCCATAATTTATTTTTAGTAATTCCTACCACCTAGCTCCACAGAAAGATGCTTGTGAAGATATATGAAGAATCTGCCAAAGTGAAATGATTTAATCTTATGATCTGTCATCATATCTCTGGAAAGAGCACTTATCTAAAGAATCTGAAGCAGGAGCGGGGACTCAGAGTCTCTGACCTGATTAAAATAATCATCCAAGAGCACTCATCAAAAACACATGTTGAAAGGTCCCCGTTGTGTGTATTCTTATCTGTCTATCAAGGAGGGTCCTTGCTTCCTCATGAAAGAAGAGGAAACTCCCCCTGTGTGTAAGCACAGCATAAATATAAGATTTCAAAGACCAGCCAGGGCACAGAACCCTATTATTTTCCATGTACATAACATTGTGAGAATGCAAAAAGATGCTTTGCAGATATTTGGGGACACTCCCTCTGAATTCTTGAACAGCGAGCATGTGGAGTGTCACAGAGGACAACACTTGCAATCATGCAAGCTGGGCATGCCTTTTGAATTCCACTGCATGCAGACAGTGGGCCACACATTTAGGGGAGAACATCCCAGGTTCTCATAATAACTGAGAAACTAAGTTAGACTTGTAGGGGAGTAATTCTATATTATTGAATTTATTGTTAATGAATAAGCACAGTCCAAGAGAAAAAAGGGATAGTTTTGCTTGTAAATGTTAATATGCTCATTTTGTGAGCCTAAATCAGTCCTTATTCCTGCCATTCATATATTTTTCTCTCTCTCCCTTTCTCTTTCTTTTGCATATAACCTTGAGATGATTTGGCACAGAAGTTAAGCATAGGCCTTTGGAATTGGAGGCATGATGTCCAGATTCCTCTTCACCATCAATTACATAGTCTTCATTCAGGTCATTCCACCTTGCTGGAATTCAGTTTCCCATAAAATGTGTGTGAGAGTAGCTCATGGAGTTGTGGCAAGCATACTTGCATCATAGATAAAGCAGTTAGCAAATCACTTGACTCAAATTAAGTACTTACCTTGCTATTGTGATTATGATAACTGAGTATGGAGTGTTAGGGCAAATGTTTGCACTACACACTTGTGTGTTCCACATACAGCTACTTCTATTTGTCAGTGTAGCTTTTGTAGTGTAACTGATATGCTGTTCCTCAAGGACTTATTAGTCAGTCAGCAGACTGTGAGTGTCTTGCTTTTCCTCTGATCATTAGCTGGCCTTTTTAAAATTCTTCCACCATTCTGCCCAAGGGGGTGAGACGCACAAAAGAGGGGTACAGATTAATTCCTCCTACACGCTTTATAAGGCAAAGAGACTTGGAGAAAAGGCTGTTTCACCCAGAGTAGGTGTTTACAGCTTCTTGGAAAAGGTGATAATCCAGTTGGGATTCAAGAGGCAGGTAGGCTAGAGAAAGGCAATAGGTTTTTTTTAAAGTGTGGTACCTATTTTTTAACCATTTTTTTTCCCTTAAATACAAAGCATAGCAAAATCTCAGAGTCAGGAAGAACATGTTATATTGAGAAAACACTAAAACTGCCACTAATTGGAAAAGAAAAACTCTTAACTGTGGAAGAAGGATCTCCTGCCTGGAGCTGTACATTGTGCTGGAGACTCCCAGTGACCATCTGTACAGACAGCAGGAGATCAGAGTTACTGAGCTCATCTTAGAAGTCCAGGAAAAGTGTTTATGCTTGGTCAGAAGCAAGACAGCTTCCAAAGTCTGTAAGTAAGAGAGTAATATGATGTAAACAGTACAAGTTTTGTGGAATAGTCCTGAACGTACACAGGTAAGAGAATGGAAGAGGCAGTCTATGTAGTACAGAGACAAAGTGAGGAGAGCCTGGATTTCAGAATTAAATAAGATGGCTGAATTTACAACTCATTTTGTTATTTTAATTAATTATTTGTTTATTTGGTAGAGGGTGTCACTTCACAGCTCCCTTGAGCTGGGACTACGGGTGTGTGCCACCATGCCCATTTTCAGCGGTCGGTTTGGCACGGGGTCGGCACTCATGTGGTACTAGTGATCAAACTTCTGGTGCTTTCCAGGCAGGCATTTAGATTGCCAAGCTGTCTCCCTGGCCTTAGAGCACATTTTGAAAGGGAAGTTGAAAGAACTTGGTGACAGATTAGACTTTGTGGATAGTCATCATATACTGGTAGCAGAATAAGTCACAAAGCTAAGGATTTCTATGGGTTCGAAGGAAGCACAATTTTATTCGGAAAAATATGGTCATTTATGATATAATTATTTTTAGCTCATCATGACAACATTTCATTCAGTGGTACTTAGGTATGTATAATTCCTGGAGGCAGAGATACTGCTTTAATAAGTTAATGCTCTTATTACTTCCAAACTAGGAATTTCAACAA